TACTTCCTGCAGAGACGCAGCCAAAGGAGAAGCCCCGCCCAGTAAGCTTTTCAGCTCTTCGGAGAACACCGTGAGTGCACTCTCTTTTTTACTTACACACACACAGAGAGAGAGAGAGAGAGAAGGGAAGCTCAAGTGCCTCTCTCTGTCTCTGTCTCTGTCTCTGTCTCTCTCTGCGAATGGCAGAGGAGGCTGGGAGCCGCAGGGGAAGGCTCAAAGAGCCACATGCGGCTCCGGAGCCGCAGGTTGCCGACCTGTGGCCTAGGTGATGCCAACAGTTTTCCTTTGGCAACAAATACAGACATGGCTTACAAATGCCTCCCTCCTAGGGTTGAGAGGGAAAAAAATAACCAGCCCCAAATCACCCAGCTGGCCCTCATGGCCAAAGCAGGATTTGAACTCACCGTTCTCCAGCTTTGTAGCCTGTGGCCGTAACCATGAGACCAAATTGGTTCTCTATAAAGGTTTTCTTTTCCTCCTTGGCTCCAAGGAAAAGGAAAACAAATTGAGCATACACATTATACAGCAATTAATCATCTCTTTTGCAGTAGCAAAGAGTTCCAAAAACACATGCTGTAAATAAAATTTCATAGGATTGTTCCTTTGACAAGAATGTCCTCAAATACATTATTAAGGATAAATCCAGACTAAAATGCAAAGGAAAATCACTGACGTTTGACACACACAAACACAAAACAGAATATCAGAGTTGGATGGGATCTTAAAGGTCTTCTGGTCCAACCCCCTACTGAAAACTGGTTGTCCAATTTCATCTTAAAAGCCTCCAGTAATGAAGCACCCACAGCGTCTGTAGACAATCATCTCATTGATTAATTATTCTCACAGTAAGGAAATTTTCCTTAGTTCTAGGTTGGTCCTCTCCCGGACTTAATCTCCAGCTATTGCTTATTGTTCTGTCTTTTAGTATTTTTTAAAAAAATAAGTTAATCATTTCTTTTGTGGCAACCCGATAGTTATTGGACAATGGCTAGTACATTTATTAAACTTAATATACCCAATTCCTGCAGACCAGAGCAGGCAAAAAGAAACTGCATTTCCCCCCCTTTTTTTTAATTGTGACATGGGATGCCACAGTGCCCCTCCCTTCTCACGCAAAAGTTGTAAGCAGAAAAAAAAATGGTTAAAAGGAACAGAAAAAACAACAACGCATCCTCCCATTTCCTTCTCAGATACAATTTCAAAGGCAGAATGAGATTTGCATTACCTTGAACATTCTGTCCAGCAGTTAATCTTAACTACATCCCTTGGGTCTTTTGCAGAAAGAAAGAAATCACACTCCCATGTTACCAAGGTGTAGAAAAAAAAATCTCCAAAACAGTCACCCACAAACATAATGCAGATTTTTCTTAATTTAAGAAAGGGAGTATAGGAAATAATTCCTTCAAAAAAGATCTCAAATACTATGTAACCAGTGAGTTGGCCAAAAAAAAAAAAATTGCAGACAGACATACACAGAATTTTCAAAACAAAATTTTGCACTAATAACAGATTTCTTACATCCACTTTCATTCTTCCTCTTTGTCTCACACATTCCGGTTAGAACTGGTTGGGGGTAGTGAATGCATTTTTTTCCCTAGGAGAGGGATAATGATCAAAAAGGTTTCCTCTCTCTTGTCACCCTCCAAACTATTGGAACCTAAAGAAATACATAACTTTCTATACATCAATTATCAACTTAACTCATTACGTTCTCTCACAAAATAAAAGATCAAAGTTCTCACATCCTGGCCAGGCATAAAACTGCACACTTAGTCTCTCAATCTCTCTCTCTGGTGTTCCACTTACAGTGAGGGAAAAAATTATTTGATCCCCTGCTGATTTTGTACGTTTGCCCACTGACAAAGAAATGATCAGTCTATAATTTTAATGGTAGGTTTATTTTAACAGTGAGAGACAGAATAACAACAAAAAAATCCAGAAAAACGCATTTCAAAAAAGTTATAAATTGATTTGCATTTTAATGAGTGAAATAAGTATTTGATCCCCTATCAATCACCAAGATTTCTGGCTCCCAGGTGTCTTTTTACAGGTAACGAACTGAGATTAGGAACACTCTCTTAAAGGGAGTGCTCCTAATCTCAGCCTGTTACCTGTATAAAAGACACCTGTCCACAGAAGCAATCAATCAATCAGATTCCAAACTCTCCACCATGGCCAAGACCAAAGAGCTGTCCAAGGATGTCAGGGACAAGATGGTAGACCTACACAAGGCTGAAATGGGCTACAAGACCATCACCAAGCAGCTTGGTGACAATAGTTGGTACAATTATTGGCAAATGGAAGAAACACAAAATAACTGTCAATCTCCCTCGGTCTGGGGCTCCATGCAAGATCTCACCCTGTGGAGTTTCAGTGATCATGAGAACGGTGAAGAATCAGCCCAGAACTACACGGGAGGATATTGTCAATGATCTCAAGGCAGTTGGGACCATAGTCACCAAGAAAACAATTGGTAACACACTCCTGCAGTGCCCGCAAGGTCCCCCTGCTCTAGAAAGTACATGTACAGGCCCGTCTGAAGTTTGCCAATGAACATCTGAATAATTCAGAGGAGAACTGGGTGAAAGTGTTGTGGTCAGATGAGACCAAGATCGAGCTCTTTGGCATCAACTCAACTCTCCATGTTTGGAGGAGGAGGAATGCTGCCTATGACCCCAAGAACACCATCCCCACCGTCAAACATGGAGGTGGAAACATTATGCTTTGGGGGTGTTTTTCTGCTAAGGGGACAGGACAACTTCACCGCATCAAAGGGACGATGGACGGGGCCATGTACCGTCAAATCTTGGGTGAGAACCTCTTTTCCCCAGCCAGGGCATTGAAAATGGGTCGTGGATGGATATTCCAGCATGACAATGACCCAAAACACACGGCCAAGGCAACAAAGGAGTGGCTCAAGAAGAAGCACATTAAGGTCCTGGAGTGGCCTAGCCAGTCTTCAGACCTTAATCCCATAGAAAATCTGTGGAGGGAGCTGAAGGTTCGAGCTGCCAAATGTCAGCCTCGAAACCTTAATGACTTGGAGAGGATCTGCAAAGAGGAGTGGGACAAAATCCCTCCTGAGATGTGTGCAAACCTGGTGGCCAACTACAAGAAACATCTGACCTCTGTGACTGCCCACAAGGGTTTTGCCACCAAGTACTAAGTCATGTTTTGTGAAGGGGTCAAATACTTATTTCACTCATTAAAATGCAAATCAATGTATAACTTTTTTGAAATGCGTTTTTCTGGATTTTTTTGCTGTTATTCTGTCTCTCACTCTTAAAATAAACCTACATATTTCCATCTCATAATATTACACATGTTCATTAAAATGAGGTCTGAAGTCAGAAGGGGCCTAAATGGTAAGGAAAAGGGTTGTTTGGAGTTCATAAAAGAGATAAACTAGACCCCAATTTGTACTAACAAACTTTTCTTATCTGTAAATTATCTTTTCAGTTTAGGAATGTGAAAAACTATCTAATCAATCCATACAACCATAGGATAAAAGTTTTCCTACATTCCAATCTGTAATGAACCAACATTATTTTAAAAGAGAGAAAATACATCAAATTAAAATACAAAATAACTGTGTTAACAAATTACAAAATCCATGTCATGTGCCCCTCAGAGGGGAGGCAGTCGAAGGCTACGAGCCAGGAGTGGAGGGGACAAGCACAGGGGAGTGACCAGACGAACAGCCTGCTGAGCTAGGGACAGGAGAGGCACAACTGCAGCTGGGAAGCCCAGAGAGTTCGGGTGGAGAGGGCACACAGCTGCAGCTGGTCAGTGGAGATGAAGAAGAACTGCCTCCTCCTCCCGATCAAGAGCACTGTAGGGCTGAGAGGAGGCTGGCACAATGAAGGTCAGCCAGGCTACTTGCGAGGCAGTAGCCTGGCCTCTCTTTATGGGCTGCACCAGGAAGCAGCTATTTAGCTCAGCAACAAGAGTGAAATGATACTGGGAACAACATGTCTGTTTCCTTGCTGTGTGTTCTTCAGCTGTCATGGTTCTTGCCTTGAACTTTAGATCGTGCCTCTAGAACTCTGGATTTGCCTTGTGGACTTGCCTTGTCTTTGCGCTGTGGACTGGTGCTGGCTTCTTTTTAGTAGACTTTTGAACTCATTGGGGAATTGCTGGGGAATACTAATACTTGGAAGCCTTAATAAAGACTCCTAACACCTGTGGTGTGTGGGTGTGTGGGACAGCACACCTCATTTGCTGAAGCTGGTGATAACAGAATGTGTTACAGGTAGTCCTCGACTTATGAGTGGTCATTTAACAGCCATTCAAAGTTAGGACAGCCTCGGAAAGGATGCTTTATGGTCCACCAAGCACTTCTGGCCACCATAAAATGTCACACCACCACCTTCCTGGGTCACATGATGGCATTTACAAGTGGTTGACAGGTACCCCATGATCATGTGATTGACATTTGCAATCTTCTCTACCAGCTTCCCCAGAAAATCAATTGGGAAGCTGGCAGGAAAGTTTACAAGCAGAGGGGACAGAGGGCAGGTGAAATCTTTTGGTGGGCTCCAGGAACAGCTGAAATCTTCAGGATTTCCCCTCCATGCTGAATGATTTTCCGTCCGTATATAGAGGGGAGAGGAAATCCTTCGGCAGGCTGCAGGAACATTTAAGCGTGAAAGAGCTGCTTGCTGGGAGGATTTCAACTCTGCACAGAGCTGAACTCCTTCAGCAGACAGCTCTTTCACTCCATCCTCTTAATGACCCAGGAGATCATTTAATCACCAGTGCCAGGATTGCTGTGGCTGAGCAAAGCAGCCATGTGGGCATCTCACTTAATGACCACTTTGCTTAATGACCAATATTCTGGTCCCAGGTGTCATAAGTTGAGGGCTACCTGTATATTATTGTTAGGCATTATTAAACCTTGCCATGTTATTCTGTTCTGTATATTTGGCTTAATGTGGATGCTATTGTGTTTTCTCTTCAACTGCTAACTGAATCCTCCCCCCCACCCCAAATGTTTTCAGCTAAACCTGGGAACAGTAGGATTTTATCGGACACAGTACAGTCCTGACATGCTGGAGGGCTTACTTCCAGCTATCCATGATCTCTCCTTACTCCCCGTGGACAGGCTAGGGCTGCAGAATGATCTCTTTTCCTTGGTAAGTGGATCTCTGTGTTTCTTTTTGTTAATCTTCTTTTCCCTTTCCCTTTTCTCTTGTCTCTTTTTTCCTTCCAAGAGTTAAGCACTACATTTGGAGGCACAATATATTTTCAATAACGAACTTCATATATTTTACATAGTAAGAAAGTTATATAGTCCCAGTCTTAAACATTTAACTATAGTGCTATTTTCTGGTAAAATAGGTTCTGACTTCATGTCAATAAATATTAAACATGCTGAAGTGTGAATAAATTAAATGAAGTACGAGATGGAGATCCAAACCATCCCTGGGAAGCATCTGCAAGCTGAATAGAAATTTTTCTTTATAGTACTTGGAAAAGTTGATTCCTGCTATATCTACTATTTTTCATTATTTGATTCTCAGAAGTAATGTTCTGATATCTCATATGAGCTGGGATTTTGTAACCATCAGTTGCTGTGCTAGTAACTTTTTATTTTTAAGAACAGGTATGGAATTCCACACCAAGTGCTAAACTGTGCCCTTGTTGAGTGTGCAATACACATGATCTTGTCACTATTATAGATTCCTCACAACCCATGCTCTGTTGTTTTCAGTGATGTTATTAGAATCAGGATATTAAATTGAATGACTTCCACAATAAGGATGTAAGTAATTTTCCTTTCTGCTTTATACTACCTTGATGAAAAAGAATAGATTGATTTCAGGGCTGTTAATTTCAACTCAAAGTTAATTTGACTCCTTTAGAGATGGTAGGTATTCTTCAAATGTTAATGATTTAAAATTGGTAATGATAAAATATAATGCAACGTTGAAACCTTAGCCGCTTGTGAAGGATTTTTGAGACATACATTCATTTAATGTAGAGTACAAGTCAATCAGTTTGAGCTTTTGAATCACCCTAGTGATTTGAATTGCTTTCAAGTTTATCAGGTAACGATTATCAACTGCACACATCCACAAATACACTGCAGGTAGTCCTTGACTTACAACCAGTTGCTTAACGAACATTTGAAGTACCACAGAATTTTTAAAATCTACTTAACAATACCCCCCATGTGGTCATGTAATTGCATTTGGGTTACTTGGCAACCAGCTTGCATTTATGACTGGTTGCAGCATCTCATGATCACATGACTGTGATTTGCAATGGTTTTTTGGCAGTTTTCAGCTAAAACACCATTGGATATGCTGGATTTCCTTAACAACCACATGATTTGCTTAATGACCATGTGATTCACTTAACAACTCGAAATCATAGACATAGCAAGATTCTTCTGTTGTTGGTTACCACTTTCATGTATGGCTCAGTCTGAAAAATTGGAAGTTTCCAGGTCTGTATTGTCACCTGACTTACCAGTTTACCTCAACCCTATCTCTTATTAGACATACTCTACATCAGGGCTTTTCATTTACACTGGCACCTGGCATGTGGTACGTGACCCTGCCTAGCCTAGATAATTGTAGCGGGGGTGAGGGAACGAGCCAAAGCGGCGCAGCACAGGACTTGCTGTGAGAGAGTCATCAGGAGCTGCAGGGCTGCTGGGACAAGACAAAGGCCCCAGGATCGGCACTTCTGGCACACCCTGAAGAGAAAGGAGGAGGAGGTCGGAGACAGGAGAGGATATAAAAGGAGGCAGTTTTGGCGGGAGAGGAAGAGAGAGAAAAAAGACGCCGGAGAAAGAGTCAGAAGAGAAAAGGCTTTTGTCAGAGAAGAGACAGAGGAAAGGCTTTTGGGGAGGTGTTCCTGCGTGAGAATGGGAAGGCTTTTGGAGAGATGTGTGCGTGAGAATGGGAAGGATTTTGAGAAACGTGTGCGTGAGAAAGAGAGAAAAGGCTTTTTGTGAGAGAAGCAGTGAGGAGAAAGGGAGAGGAGAAGAGAGAAGAGAAGAGAGGAGATGGGAATGAGAAAGAGGGAAGGAGGGAGGGAGGGAAACAGGAAGGAAGGAAGGAGATGGGAGTGAGAAAGAGGGAGGCAGGGAAGGAGGGAGGGAGGGAAACAGGAAGGAAGAGAAGGAAGGAGATGGGAATGATGAGGGAGGCAGGGAAGGAAGGAGGGGAGGGAGGGAGGGAGGGAGGGAGGAAGGAAGGAAGGAAGGAAGGAAGGAAGGAAGGAAGGAAGGAAATTGGAATGAGAGGGAGGGAGGGTCTGAGGGAAGTCCTGCCTTAGCACTTGGCCAACAGCAGCCCTTCTGCCGTTTCGCCATCCCCTTGCCTCCTCCTCCTCCTCCTGGCCTATCCTGGTGGTCTCCCATCCTATTGCTAAGGATGATTTGGTTACAAAGCTGGCTCTCCTCACATGCAGAGGGAGTGGGCCTCCCTCTGACCCACACACTTTGCCCTCCTGCATCCACCATGAGCAACCTGGCCAAGGAGAGCGAGCACAGCAGCAGCAGCCTCAAGGAGGAGGTAAGTGCAGCCGGATGCCTCCTCGGGCAAGTGGGGCTGGACTGGGTTGGGCTGCGGGGTCCTGGTGCCCCAGGAGCTTGAGGGCTGGGCTGGGTGCTTGCCCTCCACTGCCCAGGACTCTGGACAGCCCGCACCACCGTCCGGGAGTCCCCCGCACGGCCCAAGAGTGTGAAAAATGGTCATAAGTCACTTTTTTCAGTGCCGCTGTAACTTCGAACAGTCACTAAGCGAACTGTTGTAAGTTGAGGACTACCTGTACTTTATCACTTTTTTCCTTTTTTTTTTTTTTGGTCATCAACTTTTTGACACCTTGCTAGACCACTGGTGGTACTTGAATATTGCCATATCCTAAAAGTGGTACAATCGGTGAAAAGGTTGAAAAGCCCTGCTCTACATCACTCTGTATAACCTATAGCAAGGACCCAACTGTTCTACTCCTACTATCCATATGAAGAAAAGTCCAGATAGCTTTCTTTTTGGTAACACTGAACATTTTACTTTGACTTTAGAGTGTAACTTATTTGTTTTTCTTCTCTCAGGCCCGAGCTGGAATTATTAGCACGGTAGAGGTTCTAAAAGTCATGAAAGCATTTGTGAATGAGCCCAACTATACCGTGTGGAGCAACCTGAGCTGTAACCTGGGGATTCTCTCAACTCTCTTGTCCCACACAGACTTCTATGAAGAGATTCAGGCATTCATCTGTGATATCTTTTCACCAATAGGAGAAAAACTGGGCTGGGATACCAGGCCTGGTGAGGGTATGAAGGTTTATGAATACTTTTGCCTATCAGTATTTTATTTTTATCTTGTCCCTTTTTGTTGTCAGAGACTTAAACTTCCAGAATATTTGTAGTAGGAATAGGGGACTAACACTGATGGTTTCCCCTCAGAGACTGGTTTCTGAGGTCTGTTATGGATTTTTCTGCAGTTTTAGCTAGTCGAACTGCTGAGGGCCTGGTTTCTGTTTGGAGTAAGGCAGAAGACTCAAAATGAATAGAATTAATCAGAAGTAAGATTCTATTACTAATCATACCCTATGGCAGTTATTTGTTTCACCTTCATTTCATCTGTTCCAGCTGTGATGTACAGGTAGATTGATTATACTGGAAATATTTAGAATATACTGGAATCCACATGGTACTTCTAGATTTCTCAGAAGAATTGGTGCTATTAATTATGATGGATTAATTGTTGGATTAATTACTTAAGTTGGATTTAAGAGGCAGAAAGTTGTTCCCAGGGCAATAGTATCAGAAGTGGGGATGCTTTTTCACTTCTGTCTGAAATTGCTTGACCTGTTCAAGGGATGCAAGTAAGACAAGAATCTGGCAAACCTAGGGATTCAGAAGATTCTTACAATGAGAAGAAGGCAGCAAGCTTTGTCCAAAGTTCAAAACAGCAGAGGCAGAACCAGAGATTTGAAGGAGTAGCCTTAAAAGTAATCAGGAGGGAAGCCAGAATTCAGAAATCCAGGTGAGAAACTAGAGCAGGGGTGTCAAACTGCTGGCCCATGGGCCGGACGCGTCACATGGAAGCTGCGCCCACCCCAAAACCGGCCCGATACGTTGCGTGACGTCACGTGATGTCGCGAGTTTGACATGCCTGAACTAGAGCAAGGTTCAGAATTCAGAAACACAAGAAGATTGTTAACATATGCTGTTTCAGCAACTGTTTTCTATTTAATGCTTTTATGCATAATTGACAGAGGACCCTTCCTGAACATAGCAGATACATACTTGCTCCTAATGGAACTTGATCTCATAAAAAAGTTTCTTTAAGCCTTTACTTTTACTGGCTATGAAGGGTTCCTTTACTTTTACTGGCTATGAAGGGTTCCATTTCTGTATCATTCTAAAATTGCTCCACCAGCTTGAGATGATACCATTCTTGTGGGCTTGAAGGTTTTGAAGTCTACCCTGTATCAAGTATCTGGGTTGTGGGTTAGAAAGAGGTAAGTTCAGGTTCTGTCCCTGGGTGGGTCTGAACTTTGAGCAAAAGGGGTTCTCCTTGGCACCACTTCCAAACCTTGTTTCTCCTCTTTATTTGACAAGTCATTCAAAAGAGTGATGACATTGCTGGAGATAGTCATCTTGGATCATGAGTTGAAGCATTACAGTATTAGCATGTGTATGATACCCAGCTATGCTTCTGGGTTCCATTTATGTAGTCTGGAGAATCTGCAGAATTCTTGAATTGTCTGAGTGGATGTTAACAGGCAACACTGAGCTACTGTCATTTGCAAATTAACTTCTCTGGTAGGTATTCACACGTACTGTTTGATAAGCTTTCAATTCCTTTGAAAAATACATGCAGTTTACAGTACTTGGATAAGCTGAATTAGTTGCAGGAGTTTAGGCTGGTATGCAGTCTGTGGCTCCATCTGGAGAAAGTGAACTTTGCTTTAGGTATCCATTTTTTTAATATCTGGAATGGAATACTGTAACATATTTTATACCAAGCTATCTTTAAAGATAATACAGAAACTTCAGTTGGTTCCTAATGAGAAGATCTGAATGAAGGGGTGTGACAAAGTAGATGGACCTAGCGATTCCTGTATGTTACCCAATGGCAATTTAGCATACATTTCCAAACCTAATTTAAGATGAAGCTGTTAACTTTTAAAAACCTGTACAGTTTATGACCAAATTTGCTTTAAACCTTGTCCCTATTTTAAAATCAGGAGTAGACGATCCTCTTTTACAGGTAATCCTTGACTTACAAATGTAATGGAGCCTGCCAATTACATTTGTATGTCAAGAGGATGTTAAGCGAATCATGTTAAATGACCGAGCCCCCATCCCTATGCTCCCCAATGTATCCGTTAAATGAATACACAGGTCATTAGGTGGAATATGAGGTGCCTCAGGGGTGGGTTGACTCTGCCTCCAGCCTCCCAAGGCCTCCCCCCCAGCCCAAGATACCCCATACTCTGCTTCCCACCATTTGGAGTCCTCACAGCCGCTTGGGCCTTCTCCCCACACCACCACCATCATTGATCGCTCACTTACCTTTCCAAGATCTCCAGAGCTCAATAGGACAGGGTACAGAAGGAGGACAGGCTGCTCCATTGCTGAGCCACGTGGCAGAGTTCCAGAAGCTGCCATCTTTTTCTGAGATGCTGGCGAAGCCTTAGCTTCCTTCCCAAGGCATTACATACACGGCTAAATTTTGGGGAAAAGAAGTAGCTATCTCTTGTAAGCTGAAAACTTTTTCTCTCTTCCAAAGGCATTAGTATAACAGTACATAGCTAGGTTTGGGAGAGAAGCAAATTTGCTTTCCTTCCCAAGGCTTTAGCATAAACTTGTAAAACGAAGCCCTCTTTGCTTCGGTGCTTCTAAAGCTGTAGGAATAGAGAAACTGTGTGCTTTAGGCTTGGCTGCGTCCTTCATTGTCATGATGGAGGGGAAAGAGACACTCCATGTTTTAGTGGCTTCTCTTATTGCATCTTCCCAAAGCCCCATTGGCCGAAATGAAAGAGAGCAATGTTTCTTCCTGCTCTTGGTGTAAGCAGAGCCTTCACATTTGTGAGGAGCCAAGCTGCTTCCCTTCACTCTGGGGAATCCAGATTTAAAGGGCTCCTGGACGAAGACCTTTTCTAAAGCAGAGGCCAGACTGCAGGGAGGGGGACTCCTACATGGGCGAAACAGAATGAGTTTCTGCTGATATTCCCTTTGCAGTATTTCAAAAATTCCCAAACAAGGGCTTTGTATGCTGTTCTGCGCAGCTCAGTTGTGGTGAAAAAATGCCAGTGTGATCTAGCAACAGGAGCTGGGCTGGCTTTGCAGGGTAAGACACAAGCATGTTACTTACCTTAAGGAAGGTAGGCACTTGCAGCATTTGAGGAAGAGAGAAATGCGCATTCTGTAGGAGATGACCAGGCTGAGCCCAAGGGAGGGGTCAAATGCATCATCATTCTCAAGTCCCTTCACACCCACAAGAGATCTAAGTCCATCCCGCCTTGAATTCCATTGACTCTTATCTACTGCCTATTTGCTTTGACCATTAGTAGTTCAGATTCTTGTAGAGAGCATAAGCTTGCAATAAACCTTTATATTCATTTGAACTGCCTGGACTTCCCTGATTTTCCCGTGCTTGAGATGTCCCTTTTAAGTCCTCAAACGCCAATCCAGAAGGAAGGGGTGGAAAAGCATGCTCGCGTGCTCAAAAGTTGAACTTTGCTCATAGCATAAACTTCTCCAACCCAGCACATCTTACCCAACAGGTTCCATTACATTTGTAACTTGAGCATTACCTGTACTAAGAACCCTTCTGATAGAGTGTGCTGACTATTAAAAACCAGCAAATTCCAGGCATACTGGATTAACCAGAATCAAACAATGATTATACAGATTGAAGTCTGATCTATGATCGGAGTTCACATGATTTGCTACATAAAATCACAGTGTGGCTAAGCATATCATGGGAATGTGATCGATGTATCAGACAAGCATTTACAACACAGTACAGTGTATGTTCCACTTCAGTTGATAATACCTCTCTAATACTTCAGGCATGTCCCTTAACTGCTATATAAGCCAACATGCTTTATTTGACAACTGAATCCAGATTAATTCTTTATGGAAATCATACTTTGTGGGGTTGAGTTCATCTTCTCCCATCAATACTTGGTAACAACCTGGAATCTAAGGGCGGATGAGAATTTGGATATGATTGCGCCTGTGTGGCCTCTCTTGATCCATTACTCCCAACTCTCCCCATGGTTCATGGAGCAGTTGTGGGTTTTGAAAAGGGTTAAGAGACTCCTAGAGTGCTGCTGGAGGAAAACGAAGGATGACTCTGACCAGACATGACTTAGGGCTGCTATTAAGGCCTATCTCGTGGCGGTAAAAGCGATGAAACAGCATTATTTCTCTACTCTTATTGAATCTGCAGTGTTGCCTGGCGGCCCTGTTTGGAATCACCCAATCCCTCCTAGGACAGGAGGTCTTGGGCGAGCATCTTCAGGACTGTGCAGAGGAATTTGTTCAATCCACTTCGCTTGGATTTGTTCCCAGATAGATTCCATGTGTGGAGCAAATCTATGTGAGATCCCTTGTCTGGTTATCTGGGAACAGTTTGACCCTGTTGGACCTGAGGAAATGGACATGGTCCTCGATGCTGTCAGTGCCACCACCTGTCAGTTAGATCCTTGTTCCTCCTTGATGGTGAAAGCCTCCAGGACGGTGACTAGTAGGTGGGTTCAGGCAGTGATTAACTCATCACTACAGGAGGGGACATTTCCAGGGGCTTTTAAGGAGGCCCTGGTTTGCCCCCTCCTTAAAAAACCTTCACTTGATCCCACCTGCCTGGACAATTTTGGTCCTGTTTCCAATCTTCCCTTCCTAAGAAAGGGGGTGGAAAAGGTGGTTGCCTGGCAGCTTCAGAGGGTCCTGAATGAAACGGATTACCTGGACCCCTTTCAGTCAGGATTCAGGCCTGGTTATGGGATGGAAACGGCATTGGTCGTGCTTGATGATCTTTGGCAAGAGCAGGATGGGGGTAGTGCAACCATCGTTGCGTTCCTTGACCTCTCAGCGGCCTTCAATACCATCAACCGTAGTATCGTTTGGGGGATGGGCAGCACAGGTTTGTGCTGGTTTGGCTTCTTTCTCCAAGGCTGGTCCCAATCAGTGTTAGTAGGGAGTGAGAGATCCAGCCCACGGCTGCTATTTTGTGGTGTGCCACAGGACTTGGTACTCTCTCCACTCCTTTTTAACATCTACATGAAGCCACTGGGTGAGATCATCCATCACCATGGGTTGAGGTATCTTGCAGTATGCTGGTGATACTCAGCTTTATATATCCACTCCGGGTGACCCAAGTGATGCTGTGGCTGCCCTCTCATGGTGCCTGGAGGCTGTGGGGGTCTGGATGGGGGACAACAGACTTCAACTGAACCCTGGCAATGCTGAATGGCTTTGGGTGAACGGAGCCCCAAGAGCTGGGACTTTGACATCTTTCGTTCTGGATGGGGTGGCACTACCCCAGACGGATCCGGTCCACAACTTGGGAGTTCTCCTGGACTCGTGAGTCCTGCTCAAGGAGCAGGTGGCAGTCATGGCTAGGAGAGCCTTTGCACAATTTCAGGTTGTGCGCAAGTTGCTGCCTCTCCTGGATCAGGAGTCCCTGTGCTCAGTCATTCAAGCCCTAGTCATCTCGCGTTTGGACTATTGCAATGTGCTCTACATGGGGCTGCCCTTGAAGGGCATTTGGAAGCTACAACTGGTGCAGTGTGGCAGCGCAGGCAGTTTTTGCGGCCCCAAGTGTGACCCATATAACACCACTGCTCCGTGAGCTGCACTGGCTACCCATTTGCTTCCAGGTACAATTCAGTGTGTTGGTAATCACCTTTAAAGCCGTTCATGGCATGGATCCAGGCTACCTGAGGGACCGTCTCATCCCACTGGGATTGGCCTGCCCCACCCATGCCAGAGGAGGAGGCATGCTGTGGGCCCCATCGGCCAGGGTATTCTGGCTGGCTGGGGTCCAGGAGAAGGGCCTTCTCTGCCATTGTGCCTCCCCTTTGAAACATCTTGCCCCCCAGAGTGAGGTCGGCTCCTACCCTCCTGACCTTCTGCCAGAGCTTAAAGACCTGGCTCTGCCAGTTGACTTGGGGCTCCAAAGGAGGGGTTTCACATTGGAGGTGGTTGATAGATTAATAATAGATCCCACCTCCACCCCTTACTTATCCTACTCCGTCCATCCCCATCTTTTAGGTAGGGTTGTGTATTGTATTTTTGTAGTATTTTATTTGTATAGTTTTTTCTTTTTAATATTGTAAGCCTCCCAGAGTTACCCTGTGTTAAGATGGGTGGCCAATAAATTTAATAAACAAACACATACCTACTTACTTACTTACTTACTTACTTACTTACTTACTTACTTACTTACTTACTTACTTACTTACTGTCAGTAATGGGGTCCTTAGTGCTCTCTGAGCTTGGTTGTTTTCTTGCAGATGTTTCTTTACCAAACTAGGTAACATAACTCCTAGTCAGTGCTTTTACCTAGTTTGGTAATGAAACGTCTGCAGGAAAACAAGTTTGGGGAGCACCAAGGACCCCACAGTTCAACCCTGAGCTACAAATATTCTCTTCTATCAGTACTGTTAGTAGTCACCGATTTCATATGTATGTCAAGTTCTTTGCACATCTGGCACCTAAACTTTTGATGCTTGCTTTTAAGATTACTTTGAAGTTGAATAAGAATGATAATTGCTGAAAGAGCATTGGTGGGAGTATAGGAGTGAAAGACTGAATATTTTATAGAACATTTCACAGACTTCATGCTCAAGGTCTTAGGAGTCCTTTTCAGTTCATATTCTGTGATCTTGTAAATTCATACTATGTATGTATGTATGTATGTATGTATGTATGTATGTATGTATGTATGTACGTACGTACGTACCGGTATGTATGAAGCTTTTTAAGATACAACTTTCTTATTTCTTACTGTTTTCCATCAGGTCATCTAGATGCACTTCTGAGAGGTTTAGTTTTGGGCAAGCTTGGAAAAGCTGGACATAAGGCAACATTGGAAGAAGCTTGGCGGCGGTTTAAAGATCATGTGGAAGGGAAGCACATCCTGTCTGCTGATCTGAGGAGTTCTGTAAGTTGCTTTCAAGCTTCTTGTTTTATAGCAGTTATCTGAGTTTTTTTTAACATAACCCTCTTGATTCAAATTCTGCCTTTCATGTAGGGCTGAATTAACATGTAATTACTCTGCTTCAGGCTCTTTCCTGGTGACAGAACAGTAATGTCTTTTTATTTTATTTATTTATTACATTTCTATGCCACCCATCTCCCCTACAAGGTGACTCTGGGTGGCTTACAAATTATAGAAAGAATTAAAAAAACAGTTAAAATATTAAAACGAACCAACATTAAAATATTATTAAAATCTGCACTAAAACTACGCCTACAAGAGCTAAGAGAGAGATGGGACAGGGATGAGATCTTCTTACACCATCAGCCACCTCCAGCCCCAGGTTTTGATACCCTTCTGGAAGGCCAAAAGGGAGGGGGCAGTTCTCACCTCCAGTGGTAGAATATTCCACAGGGATGGGACCACAGCAGAAAAGGTTCTTCTCTTTGATCCCGCCTGCTTCAATTCCTTAGCAGATGGGATCCATAGCAGGCCTCTTCTGCTGGCATGAGTGGGGCGGGCTTGTCCCATCAGGGAGAGACAGCTCCTCACATATCCTGGACCCATGCCATGTAGAGCTTTAAAGGTAATGACCAATACCTTGAATTGGATCTGGAAGCAAACTGGCAACCAATGCAGCTCGCACAGTAATGGTGTTATATGTCCAACCCTAGGAGCTCCCAGGACTGTGTGTGCTGCTGCATTCTGCACCAGCTGCAGCTTTCAAATACTCTTCAAGGGTAGCCCCATGAAGAATGCATTGTAGTAATCCAGCCAAGAGATGACTAGGACATGTGTGACCATGTGCAGGGCCTCAGGATCCAGGTAAAGGCTCAACTGGTGCACCACACGAAGTTGCACAAAGGCCCTCCTAGCCATGACTGCTATCTGCTCTTTGAGCAGGAGTTGTGAGTCCAGGAGGACATCCAAGTTGCGCACCAGATCTGTCTGGGGTAGTGCAACCCCATCCAGAGTTAATGATGATAAACCACCAGATCCAGAGGTCCCTTGCACCCACAGCTACTCTGTCTTGCCTGGGTCCAACTGAAACCTCTTGTCCCCTATCCATATCCTTACAGCCACCAGGCATTGAGAAAGGGCCGTCATAGCATTGTGTGGATCACCAGGGATGGAGATGTAGAGCTGTGTATCATCAGCATACTGATGATATCTCATCCCATGGTGTTGGATGATCTCACCCAGCAGTTTCATGTAGATTTTTAAAAGGAGCAGAGAAAGTACTGAGCCCTGTGGCACTCCACAAAGGAGTGGCCAAGGACTGGACCTCTTGCTCCCTAGTAACACTGATTGGGACCAGCCTTGGAGAAAGAAGCTGAACCAGCACAATACTGTGCCACCCATCCCCATTTCCCGTAGTCGGCCCAAAAGGATACCATGGTCAATGTTATTGAAAGCTGCTGAGAGCTCAAGGAGATCAAGGATGGAGGCGCTATCCCCATCCCACTCTTGCCAGAGATCATCCACAAGCATGACCAATGCTGTTTCCCTCCCATAACCCAGCCTGAAACCCAACTGAAAGCGCTCTAGATAATGTGTTTCATCCAGGACCCTCTGGAGCTGCAAGACAACCACTTTTTCCACCACCTTTCCTAGAAAGGGGAGGTGGGACACTGGACGAAAGTTGTCCAGGGAGCTTGGGTGCAGTGATGGTTTCTTGAGGAGGGGGCACACTAAAGCCTCCTTGAACAGTGCCAGAAATACCCCCTCCTGCAGCAATGCATTAATCACTGCTTGGACCCACCTACAGGTCACTGTCTTAGGGGCTTTCAGCAACCAGGAGGGACAGGAATCTAATAAGCACGTAGTTGCCTTAACAGCCCCAAGGATCCTGTCCCCTTCCTACGGTCCAACAGGGTCAAACCGTTCCCAGATAATCTGGTAAGTCCGTTCCCCAGGCATCTCCAATGGACCTGCTCCACACTTGGACTCAAACTGTGAACAGATCTGAGCGATTTTATCCATCAGGTGTTCAACAAATTCCTCTGCACGGCCCTGTAAATGATAGTCTGAGCCCTCCTTCCCAAGTGTGACCTTGAACAGGGCCATTGGGCGCCACTGCAGATGCAATAAGACCGGAGAAATAGTGATGTTTCACCGCTCTTACCGCCACAAGGTAGGCCTTAATTGTGGCTCTAACCCATGTCCAGTTGGCTTTGTTCTTATTTTCCTCCAGTGGCGCTCTAGCCTTCTTTTGGCCCTTTTCAGAACCTTCAGCTCCTCTGTAAACCATGGGGAGTTTCGGGACCGATGGGCCATGAGAGGGCGCATGGGTGCAATCATGTCCAGGGCCTCAGCCTCTTTGTGATTCCAAGTTGTGGCCGAGGCCTCCACAGGGCCATGCAGTAGAACCCCCCGGGACATCCCCCAGCTCCTTCTGAAACAGGTCCATTAGTCACCTAGGGTGGACCATTCGAATAGGTCCTTCCTCCCTGCAAAGGGGGGGGGGCTTTGGGAAATTTTACAGCAAACAGGGCATGCTCTGACCATGACAGGGGGGGATAATGACAGATCCCCCACCAGATCACATTGCCACTTCTCCAACAAGAAAATTGTATCTGGAGTGTGACCACTATCCCAAGTTGGATGATCTGGGATAGGCCCATAGCCACCATGGCGGCCATGAACTCCTGGGCTTAAGTAGTTTTCCATCAACTCTCCCTAGCCTATAGCCAGAAATTTCCTTTCCTTAAAATGTTAGTTACAACCACAAGTTAATCTACCTACAAAGGACAAATTCTAATATTATAGTTTCATATTTTTGTTTTAATTCCTTAGACCAGCTTGGATTAGAGTCAGGTTGAACTTTTGGAGGCTGAAATGTAAAGGGAAGGATACTTTACACTGAGTCCGATAGGAATACACTGACAGGAAATAGCTTTCTTTACTTTAAAATATTTTTTATTTCCAGGTATATGTAACTGTTTTGAAACATGGTGACAGTATAACCTTAGATACTATGCTAAAGGTAAGTTTACTTTGTATTTCTGGGCATGTAAAAATCTATGGAGAATATATTCTACATACAGATGAATGCTGTGCCAACGTGCAAGATGCCCACAGATGTCTTGTCTTTAATTTTAATTACTTTAATCCTTCCATTTTCTCTCTCCCATGTGAAGAACAGTAGATATCCTTAGAAATATTCAGTTTCATATGTTATTAATTACAGTGGAAGAGATTTAAAATTATGTTTAGATTCCTCTCATTGCAATGGAATAGATTTAAAACATTAGTTAATATTTTTCAGTTTCTCTCCCCCATCCCTCTCTCTTTCTGATATTTAGCCCTGTTATTTGTTCTTGGGAATGGGGAATATATCAGTTATATACATTAAATAAGGTTTACTTAATGATGTACCCCCCAAAGCCACAGCATATAATTGTCACATGTGCATTATTGAAAATTTTAAACAAAGGAATCTATGGCCTTTCAGATGATACTGTACTTCTAGCTTTGTTTGGCGTAGTGAGAATTTTAGTTCAACAGTATCTGAAAGATGGCATGATCTCCATCTCTCATCTATTTTTTATGCCAATAATTTGAATTTGATACCCTTTGAAACAATGTTACCATTGGAAATTACAGGTGACTTAAGTGAATCCCATCCCATTGAGAAATTGCTTTCGACTGCTGGCATTTTCATTTTCAAAATATTTCCTTTTGAATATGTTCCTTACTCCCCAATGTGCACTTTTTCTTCCTCCCAGTGTACTATTGCTGATTGTGATTTCCACTGTCAGAGGTGATGATCTGACTAGCAAGAATTAAATTGCTTGCTTTCCTACTACAGGTAGTCCTCAACTTACAACCATAATTCAGACCAGAATTACCATTGCTAAACAAGGTGGTTGTTAAGTGAGTTGTGCCCAATTTTATGTCCTTTTTTGCTATGGTTGTTAAGTGAATCACTGCACTTGTTAAGTGAATCACACAGCCATTAAGCTAATCTGGCTTCCTCTATTGACTGCTTATTGGAAGCTGGCTGGGAAGGTTGCAAATGGCAATCACATGATGCTGCAATCATGATATATACTGTACATGCCACTTGCTAAGCAGTCAAATTTTAATCATGTGACCATAGGGATGCTGTGACAGTCATAAGTGCAAGGACCAGTCATCAATCACTTTTTTCAGTGCTGTTGCAACTTTGGTCATTAAGCAAATTCTTGTAAGTTGAGGACTACCTGTAGTGAGGAAAAAGGACTGAGTCTCTGTTAGCCCTTTTGCAGATCTTAGGCTTCAAATTGCCCACCTTTTCATCACAACTTTGCACATTTTTTGCCTATCTTATTGTAGTGCAAGTTTTGTTCCCCATTATTTTTCTAAAACACATTTCCTTTCAGCTTAACAAACTAGTTGCTTTCCACATTTATTCAAGGGTAGAAAGATGTGTCCCTACAACAGAGTAACCTTTCTGGTAACTGGTTGTACTAAGTTCTGCAGAAGAGTATCAACCTAAGTGGCATATTTAAACACAGTTCAAAAAAAATGTCATTAGTGAAATAAAAGTTGTAGGTGATTTGGATATTACTCCCACAGCCATTGTATAGAGATAATATGCCATCTAGTGGTTCTGCTGTAAAATAAATCTTGTAACGGCAGTACCTGGAAATATGGCCAAATTTTGAATTACCACTAAACTAAGTGGCAAATATTCCTTTGTGGAATGCCTGTTGGCCATATGCCCAGAAACTGAGCAGGTTTCTAATTTAGCTTGTCTGGTCCTAGTTTAGAACCATATATGACAGGGAAGAAGTCTACTATCACTTGCCATTTGTTATTGTTTTGTTTCCTGAAGCTCCACAAGCAAGCTGATATGCAGGAAGAGAAGAACAGAATAGAACGTGTACTTGGTGCAATATCTCAGCCAGAGTTAATACAGAAAGTTCTTACTTTTGCACTTTCAGTGAGTATGATGCCACATACTAATCCTGTCCATTGGAAACAACATAAGAATGGAATTGGGAATTTAGTATCATTTTCAGCATCCTGAGAATACTGCTTTTCTTTTCCTTTTTTCCTCTTAATAATATATTCCTTACAGCTAACACACAGCAGGGTTTGATATCCAAGAAACTAGAGATACATTGAACAGCATTTGGTGTTGCAGTTGCCCTTTGTAGTTCCTTGGTCCTATCTGCAAGCTAGCAGGACCAAAATAAATTATGCAGAGTAAGCTTGATACAGGTTGTCCTCGACTTACGACCAAAATTGGGATCAGAATTTCTGTTGCTAAGCAAGGTGGTCAATTAAGTCATGCCTGATTTTACAGCTTTTTTTACAATGGTTGTTAAGCGAATCGCGGCAGTTGTTAAATGAATCATGTGGTTGTAAAGTGAATCCAGCTTCCCCCATTGACTTTGGTTGTCAGAAACCAGCTGGGAAGGTTGCAAATGGCAATCACACGACCCCAGGATGCTGCAAGCATAGTAAATACATGCCTGTTGCCAAGCATCTGAATTTTGGGTCATGTGACCGTGGGTATGCTATTTTTTTCAGTGCTGTTGTAACTTTAAATGGTTGCTAAATGAATGGCTGTAAGCCGAGGACTACCTGTATATAAAGTGGATGAGACAGAATAACAGAAGTAAGTTGTAAAAATGAAATAACTGTCCTGGTTTCCTTCTGAATTAAGTTGTACAGTAATTACATTTTCATATATTCATCTAAAGCAGGGCTTTTCAACCTTTTCACCCATTGTACCACTTTTAGGATATGGCAATATCCAAGTACCACCAGTCACCTAGCAAGGTGTCAAAAACTTGATGACCAAAAAAAAAGGAAAAAAGTGATAAAGTACAAGTAGTCCTCAACTTACAACAGTTTGCTTAGTGACAGTTCGAAGTTACAATAGCACTGAAAAAAGTGCCCCCCAAGCCACAGCCGAGCAAGAGACCTGCCTGCCCACCAGGTGGTGCTCTTCCTCCTGTCCGAGGTTTTCATTGTTGTGAGCATTTCTGTCGAGGATTGGCAGCGGGGGTGCGGGGGGGGGTGTTCGGTTTTTATTCCCCCCATCTGCTGGGTGGTTGCAGCAGGTTTTGGTCACTTCACATGACCCTGGGACACTGTGACCGTCATAAATATGAATCAGTTGCCAAGCATCTGAATGTAAATCACAAGACCCTGGAGATGCTGCAACATTCCAGCTGATCGGCGCTTCTTCTGGGCTCAGCAGAAGCACCAGGATCAGCGCCGAGCTCCAGCTAGAGCCTGGCGCTGATCCTGGCGTTTCCACTGAGCCCTGACAGCCCTGCAGCTCCAGCCATCTCTCACTCAGGCTTGTGTGGTGCTGCCACCGGTTCAGCTCATTCCCCTCCCCCGCTACCACTTTTCTAGGATGCTCGCGTACCACCTGCCAGGTGCCAATGTACCACAGGTGGTACCCGTACCACTGGTTGAAAAGCCCTGATCTAAAGCTCTGAGGGCTAATAGCTTGTTTCATTAAAATAAATTCATGTGCTTGAGAGAAGTTTGTAAAAGTAGCAGTTAGCTTACTGCCGAGGATGTTACTGAGTTTTATTTATCCATGACTAAGGATACTGTGAAAGATTAATCAATACTTTTTTCCTCTGAGTTTTTGAAAGAGAAAGATTTGGGCTACCTGTACAGTGAAGTTGTTAAACAAATGGGACAGGATGGTTTTGTCAGAAGAAATTTTGACAATTCCATCTTCTCAATATAGGTTTAAATAATCAATTTTATTACGGTCACAGATCAGCATAAATTAAATAACAAAGAAATACCAATTGTACCTTCAGTGGAATGATTAGGTCATCATTGCAAAATGAAGTATTTTCTGGTAAAATTATTGCAAGACTATAACAATGTTATTAGAAAAAAATAGACAATTATTGGAAGTAGTATGTAATTCTGTATTGCACGCCTTATAGAGCAATACAGGGTAGAATCAAATATAATGGACATGATATTCCCTTCCTTCAATTTGTAACATGTAGCTGTTGAAATATTGAACCTGATGTTATCCATGACATTATCCTCCTTCCCTCCAGTTCTGCTGGAATTATTGGCTATAGTGAGGTAGGTGAGCAGGTAGAAAATTTGCAAAGTGGTGGTGATGACATCATGTACTTCTATAGCTACATATTGAGGAGAATGTAGTACAGGATGGAAACACAGTATTAGTAGAATCATTGTTTTTCAGTCAATCCATTTTTGATTTACTGTGTACAAATCCTTCTCCTTGGCTATTGAAAGTTGAAAAACATGTTTAAATAGCTCAGTAGAACTCATCCAAAATTGTTCTGGCTTTCTCCAATCTAAGAATGTACAGGTAGTCCTTGACTTATGACTGTTTGAAATTACAACAGCCTCAAAAAAGGTGACTTACGACCTGTACTCTGCACTAACGACCATCGCACCATGGTCACGCGATTGCAATTTGGGCACTTGGCAACCAGCATACATTTATGATCACTTGCAGCATGCTGCAGTCATGTTATCATAATTTGCAACCTTTTTTGCCAATTTACATGGCCAAAACACCCATTGCGGAAGCTGGATTTGCTTAACGATCATGGAATTTGCTTAACAACCATCATAAAAATTGTCATAAAATCAGGTCTGACTCAACTTATGACCACAATGATTTATGACAGAAATTCCAGTCCCAGTTGTGGTCAGAAGTTGAGGACTACCTGTATAGGTAATTATCCAACTAGCTCTCCTAAACAAGTGATTTAATACCCAAAGCTTATAAGGCATTCCTGAAAGAGACAGTAATAGTGGTCATGAAACAGAGCTCACTCATTGCATATTAGTGATTGTTCTGGCAATGCATCATCTTTGTAACATTGTTCTAATGCTGAACAGTGTGGTAGTGAAGCACAGTAGTACTATCCTGAACTGAGACAAAGTCCTGGATGACTTCCTGGCATTCTTTGCAGCATAAAGAAGGAAAGAATTCTTGGTTACCGAATGTGAGGCCAATAGACAAGGGCTAACTCCACCCCTTTTAGCTAGACAGCAGAACTTAAGATTTCTTCCTGGCCTATTGAGAAAGCCCCTATGTTTCATTCTTTAGTTCTGTGTTTTAGGAGAAGCAGTGGCTTTTCTCTCATTTCCAGCTTAGGGTCAAAATAATTTCCCAGAGGAAGGATTGAAGGCTTGGAAACAGCATGGAGGATGTAGCAGCAGTAGCACAAACTGTGTGTGCATGCTCATAGACACTGGAACAGAGGAAAGATGCCAGCACTGAGCACTGCAGGGTGTAGCTGAATCTTTCTGTGGACTAAGCACTGGGCAACATCAATTGCAGCAGCCCATTGGCAGCCTCTTTCCCTCTTGAAAGGCCAATTTCAACAGCCTTCTGGCAATCAAACCAGGAGTAGGCAGCACCAGCACCAGCAAACCTTCAATAGCCAGGATTTCCATAGTGGCCAGAAAAGGTGGTGCATCAGCATTCAAGCTGTTGAGACTATAGTGAGTACACAAGTTGGATCTTCCTTGTCTCCATCATTAAAATAGTGATGGGAAAACCAAGAGGCACCAAATGGGGTGGTATGTCAGGGGACTGTGTGGTGATCCCTGATATAAAAGGGGGGGATGTAAAAACGAAACCTAACAAGGCTCAGCTGTCAACGCTGCAAATACTGTATATTCTTGCTTTGACAATATGCAGAACTGTCTGGTATTTTTATAGTTAAATCAGGCAACAGTGAAAGGGGAGGAGAATAAGGAAAGCCCGGGAAAAAGAAACCGGAAGTAAATCACATCTTCCAAGTTAATTGGAAGATGTGAACCATGACCCCAAAATAGGGGCGGGGAAAAATGCTTGGAATGTATATGCAACGGAAAAGAATCCAGATCTAAGCATTTCCACCATTATTATTATTATAATTTATTATTATTATAATTTAATTTCTATACCGCCCTTCTCCCGCAGGACTCAGGGCGGTGCACAGCATATTAAAACAGATACACATATCAATAAAAATAAAAACCCCTCTAAAACCAAATTAAAACCAAATATTCGAAGCTGTGTTCCAATTAAAATTATACTTAAAATCGTCCCTAAATAAAATCCTCCTTAGGTCAGGCCCGCTTGCTGNGCGCGGCGGAAAGTAAGGAGATCCGGAATCATCCGGATCTCGGGGGGTAGTTCGTTCCAGAGGGTGGGGGCACCCACAGAGAAGGCCCTCCCCCTGGGGGTCGCCAGCCGACACTGTTTGGCCGACGGCACCCTGAGGAGACCCACTCTGTGGGAGCGTACCGGTCTATGGGAGGAAATCTGAGGCAGAAGGCGGTCTCTGTAACTTTAATAAATGCTTTTAGGAAAAATATGCCTGAAAGTCCTTTTAAGTGTTTCGTCAATCAGACACATGACATCATGCTTAGATCTCAACTCCTTTTAAAACGACCTGGGGTCCCGAACTCCATCCACTGCCTCTAGGCTTGAGAGGAGCTGGTAAAGATTCGGGGAAGATCTCATTATGGAGAAAGAAAGATTGTCTGAGGCCAGCCCCCTGGCTGCAACAGTTTCCCCGGGGGGGGGGGGAGCGACAGCCGGCAAGCCGGGGGAGAGAGGAATCTGGCAGATTTCCCAGCTGAGAGCAAAGACTTCAAAAGCTGAATTGGGTGAGCCACTGGAGAGATTTCAAGAACCAGAGGTGAGAGCCAGGAAACAATTCCTGCAGATGGAAGCCCACAACCCCTCCCTCATAGATCAGACCCTGAGTTCCCCAATCAGGAACTGCAGTCCTGAAGATGGAGGGAATCCCAAATTGAGGCCTCTGCAGCAATGGGCAGGGTGGCACCCCCCACAGATAGATGATCAGCAGCAACTGAGCTTACCACAGCTAATAGAGGCCTTGCAGCAGCTTGAGATGATGCAAAAGCCAGGAGAGCTACAGCCGGTGAGCTTGCAGATGAGGGAGGCCCAGCATGTCCAGCAACCATTGAGGGGCCTACAGCAGCAGAGGGCATCACCACCCTCTGCAGTCCAACAGCAGAATACACCACTACAACCCCCACTTG